GGCTCCTCCTGGTTTTCACTGAGAATCAATACAAGAAAACAGCCACATCAAGAAATTATCTACATTTTCTGTGAGGCCTTTGTTAAAGATACTGGGACTTGTTTTATTTCATTTTCCTCATATAAGAACCTAACCCAACCTGAGAATTCAGCACCAGGCTCCTAGAAGCTCACTATACTCATTCTGTCAGGAAAGCAGGAAGCTCAGCTCGAAGTGAATGCTCACTCACTGCCACTTTCAAGTGAGAAGCTGAGGATGACAAATGTGATGGCAGCCCCTTATTATATAGATCCTGCTAGAGCTGTATTTATGGCTGGACAGTCTTGTGAGACCCTGTGGACACAGCTGCTGAGGGACCAACCCTTGTGGCACCAGGACTCAAGATGTACAGTCAAGATTTTGTCTCCAGAAGCCAATCCAAGGGCTGTCCTCCTGGCTTCTCATTCAGGGTACGCACTACATGAGAGACAAGGGCCACAGAAAGCCGCAAAGCAAACATGAGTGTCTTCCTCAATAAGCAGGACTTTCTGTCTGTGGCACACTGTAGTTTCTCTCAGGTGGGGAATTCGTTTTATTTATTTTGTTGTTCAGAACTTGCTCCATTTCAAAATCTGAGGTTTCTTCACCTTCTGGGAAGCCTCTTAATTCCCTATTGACAACTGCCCTGCAGCACATCCTCTTGGGGGGACTCCTCTCCATTGCCCTGTCTTCAGCTCCACCTCTTCACCTCTGTTGCACTCTCGCCAATTTTGTAGACTGAATGTTCTTTTCATCTGGCTCTGATCTGCTCTCTGAAATGCTTGTTGACTTTTAAACTGCAATGATTATTACTTTTCTTTTCTAAAAGTAATTTTTTTGGTTCATTTCCAAATCTGGTCTTTTTTGATGGTGTATTATTAATTTTTATTGAGATAAATACATATATCATAAACTTTGCCACTTTAAAGTATAGAATCATCAGCTTTTAGTATATTCATAAGGTTATGCAACCATCAAGACTGTCTAATGCCAGAACATTTTCATAATTCCGAAAATAAACTCTGTACCCATTGGTAATCACTCCTTATCCTCCCTCCCCCAGACCCTGGCAACCACCGTTACTCTAATTTCTTTATGGATTTTCCATTCTGGACATTTCATATCAATGAAATCATACAACCTATGATCCTTTGTGACTGGCTGCTTTCTCTTAGCATGTCTTTAAGGTTTATCGTTATTGTAGCACATGTAAGCATCCCCTTCCTATTTAAGGCTGAATAATATTCAGTTGTATGGGTTGACCATATTTTGTTTATCTATTCATCAGCTGATGGACCTTTGGGCTGTTTCCCCTTTTTGGTTATTATGTACGGATGTGAACATTCATCTATGAGTTATTGCATGGATATATGTTTTCAATTCTCTTAGGTATGTATGTAGGTGTGGGAACTGCTAGGTCGGATGATAACTCTGTATTTCACCATTTAAGGAACTTCCAGACTGTTTTCCAAAGGTGCTAAAAGACGTTACATTCCTACCAGCATGTATATGAGGGTTCCCTTTTGAGTTAATTTTTGTTTACAGAATAGAATATTAATCTTTCCTCACATTTTGTTTTAGCTTTCATGTCCTTCAAGACTTAAGCATATTTTATAGCGCCATCTGACAATTCTATGATCACAGGTTTATAGGACCAACACTTCTTATTATCTGACCATCTGATCTTTTAATTACAGACCTCCAAATGGGTATGAAGTATTTCACTGGAGTTTTGCTTTGTATTTCCCTGATGGCTAATGATGTTGATTGTCTTTTTATGTGCCTGTGCTTTGTATATATTCTCTGCAGAAGTTTATATTCAGATCTTCTGCTCATTTTAAAACTGTGTTATTAGTCTTTTTATTGTTGAACTGTAAAAGTTCTTTATATAATTTAAATTCTGAACTTTAATTAGATGTGATTTGCAAATATTTTCTCCCATTCTGTAGGTTGTCTTTCCATTCTAATAGTGCCTTTGGAAGCACAAAAGCTTTGCTTTTTTTTTTTTTGAGAGATGGAGTTTTGCTCTTTTGCCCAGGCTGGAGTGAAGTGGCATGATCTCTGCTCACTGCAACCTTTGTCCCCTGAGTTTAAGCAATTCTCTTGTCTCGACCTACTGAGTAGCTGGGATTACAGGCCCCCGCCACCATGCCTGGCTAATTTTTGTATTTTTGGTAGAGATGGGGTTTCACCATGTTGGCCAGACTGGTCTTGAACTCTTGACCTCAGGTGATCCACACACCTTGGTCTCCCAAAGTGCTAGGATTACAGGCATGAGCCACCATGCCTGGCCAAGCTTTTAATTTTTAAAATGGCTTTGTATAGATGAGGTCTTGCCATGTTGCCCAGGCTGGTCTTGAATTACTGGACCTTCTGTCCTGGGCTCTGAAATTGCTAGGATTATAAGCATGAACCATTGTGTCCAGCCAAAAGTTTTAAATTTTGATGGAGTCCAATTTATCGGTTCTTTCCTTTAGTCGTTTGTGCATTAGGTGTCATATTTAAGAAACAGCTGCCTAATCCAAGGTCACAAAGATTTCTATCTATTTCTTCTAAGAGTTTTATAGTTTTTGCTCTCACATTTAGTTCTTTGTTCCCTTTTGAGTTAATTTTTGTTTATAGAATAGAGTATTAATCTTTCCTCACGTTTTGTTTTAGTTTTCATGTCTTTCAAGACTTAAGCATATTTTATAGTACCATCTGACAATTCTATGATCACAGGTTTATAGAAACCTAAGTCTCCCAGTAAGTATGTCTCCAGACATTTGCGCATGACACGCTGTTTCTTCTTGTGACTTTGGACTTTATGATCATCTAAGCAGTGCTTTATCAGTGGTAACGCTGTACACCCTGGCCCAGGGAATGTCACTGCAGGGTGGATACGCATTTCTGCCAAGGGCCTCTGGATGTCAGTTAGACCAGGATCTCCTTTGTGTTCATTTCTCGGCTTGGTGATTTCTAGACAACACAGGTAGTGTTAAACTGGCCCTGAATCCACAAGACAGCAGGCCTGTGGTTACACAGTCTCAAGGGAAGACTGTTCTCCCAACCCAAAAACAGGCTGCGACATTCCAACTTCTCTGCTAGTTCTTGTGCTGCCAGTTGGGTTTTCCCAGTGTCTGCCTCAGTCCTTTTTTAAGCAGCTTGACTTTATGCTGGTGACTTAATTCCAGCTCCTACATGGCTTAGACCCCAGGCTTTGTCTCAAGTCGATGTGGTCATTAAAACTCAAGGTCCTCACTCAAGACCCCTAGCCATGCACCCATGGTGCAGTTCTGCCTGCTGCTCTTTTTTGTTCACTCTTAGATTTTAGGCTCTGGGGACTGCCCTTTCTTGTGAACCAGTCATTCATTTTAGGGACAAGGGTTGCATTTAATCCAGCATTTCAAAGTATTTAGAAGCAGGGAGGCCAGGCGCGGTGGCTCACACCTGTAATCCCAGCACTTTGGGAGGCTGGGCGGGTGGATCACCTGAGGTCAGGAGTTCAAGACCAGCGTGGCCAACATGGTGAAACCCCGTCTCTACTAAAAATACCAAAAATTAGCCGGGTGTGGTGGCAGGCGCCTGTAATTCCAGCTACTTGGGAGGCTGAGGCAGGGGAATCAATTGAACCTGGGAGGCAGAGGTTGCAGTGAACAGAGTAGCTAGGACAATAGGCATGTGCCATGACACCTGGATAATTTTTCTGGTAGAGATGGGGGTCTCAGTATGTTGCCCAGGCTGGTCTCAAACTCCTGGCCTCAAGCGATCCTCCTGTCTTGGCCTCTCAAAGCATTGGGTTTACAGGCATGAGCTACTGCATGTGGCCTGCACTGAGTTAATTATGAAACAAGCATGATGAGATTACAGAGTAGACTAGAAGATTCCACACCAAGTTTACAGATACAGCATCAAACTTGCAGAAAGGGTCCTCCCATGCTAGCTAGCTTCCAGGAACTGTTTTCCAAGGAGAATAAATCCTGTCCAGACATGCAGTTTTGGACAGAACTTTTCATAAGCAAAGCCCCAGAGATAGCATGCTGTGGCTTTAGCTCCAAATCACCATCTACTGCAAGGACAGGTCACATGCAAATGCTCCTTTTATTGGGCACCTGCTGGCTGTGTGGCTACTACAAATTTCTGACTAGTGTCCTTGTACTTGGCTGATGGTGGCACAGGCTAGGTTGTGTCTGCCCAGGGCTGCTGAGCCCTATAAACCTCGCAGTGGGGTGCAACTCTTAAGGGACAGCTCTTAAGCCACCAAAGCCCAGCCCACAGCTGCCTCTCCTCTCCCAGGCTCTGACTCATTGGGATGTGAACTTAGCTCTTTGTCGAGTCAGGCTTGGAGGAAGGGGCCCTCTCAAGAGGCAGAGAACTTCAGGGCCAATGGCAGAGGCTGCAGACATTAGCTCTGGCCACCTCAGGAGGATGCACTACCGCAAAACTCCAAGAAATAAAGAACTACAGCCTGCATGATGTCACAGCTGTGTTTGAGGGGAGACCCAGAGAATGGACAAGCAGCATAGTATCCACAAAAGCTCAGAAGCCAATCTGATAAAGACCTCACCTACATCATTTTTATTGTAGCTGTCTACCTCTGGTCAGTTTCTGAGTGGAAGGCCGTCACTTCCATGATGTATCAACATCAGAGCCTTCACCTCTCCAACTAATCTCACACTCTCTTCTGGGCAAACTCTGGACTCCATCCAAACACCATTATTCTCAGTCCAGCCTCTGCACTGACCAATCCTTGTGCCTTTGCCCATGTGGTTCTTTTGCTGTGTCCTCCCCACAGCTCCTTCCAGCCACCCTCCCACTTGAAGGAGCCACCTCTTTCTCCTGGTGGCTCACTAAGGGCTCTGCAGTCTTGCTCCCATGTATTGAGCGGCTAGAGTCTTTTCCCCAACAGGAAGGCATGTTGCTTGGTGGAAACACTGCCACTGTGCTGCTGACCCATGCCTGCACCCTCCCTGGTCCTTCAGGGTCCTGCAGCTACCACCTACCTTTCCACGGCTGTTGGAGTCACGCTGGTCAGGGCAGGAGCACCTGGCGTGGCTTTGGACCGCTCTGTGAACCGGGAATCAAATGCTTTCATGGGTTCAATCTTGGACGGGGTCGTTAACACAGAAGGTGACAATGCAGCAGGAGTAGAGGTAGCATTCATACTGGGGTGAAGAAGAGGGGAGGCATGTCAAGCGCAATCCTGAAAGGATCTGGAGGTCTAGTATTTGCATTATTTGGAGCCTACTAAAAAAGGCACAAACATCAAACTTCCATAAACACAAAAAATTTCAAGATACAATCTACTACTCCCATTTCTTTAAAATTTTCATGTGATAAAATTATGGACACCGAGAAGGTTGTGAGCAAATGCATACACATTTCCCCCCTTTGCACTGTTCTGAGAGCTTTTGCGTGAAACATGAGGCCTAGAACATGGTTCTTACAGCCCTTTTCTCTAGTCATACTGCCCTATCTCCAAAACTTAAATACAGCACCTCTACCCCAAACCACTCCAACCGCTCACCTTTCCCACTTCAACAATGAGTCTCATGAGATAAGCCTGCACCTGGGGTGCTGAAGCCATGGTCTGCTCCTGGCCTTTACCCTTACTCAGGCATCCTCCATCCTGGGTGGCCCCTCCCATATCTCCCTGTGACAGTGTCACATTCTTGGCATTATGCTCCAAGTGCTCATCGCACAGCTTTCGTCTTCTATTCCAAAGAGAAAGGAGAGGCCAGGCAGAAGCCTGCCCGGTCCATCCTTCATGTCCAAGCCCACATAACATGCTTTGGGACCATGGCCACTGTGCCTCCTCCTGAGCACACCCAGGCGAACTTCCACTCCCACCTGCCCAGACACCACACCACATGCCTGGACAGTCCCATTTTTGTCCTCCATGACCTGTGGCCACTAGAATGGGCCATCCCCGAAGCAGTTCTCAGATCTGGCATGGTCTATCCTTCCCAGGCCCCCTTCTTCCTGGCATGCTTTGCTTCCTCACTGGTCTTGCTGCTCAGTCTTTTCTTCCTACCCTCTCAGGATCCCCCCAGGACAGTGACCTAATGTTTGGGCATGCCTCCACAGCCATGGTGCTAGCACACAGAAGTAGGAGCCTGCAGTAACACAAGACTCCATTCCACCAATGGAGAATTGCTCTAACGGTATCAGCTGTATCCCAGAAGCAGGGGGCTGCAGTAACACAAGACTCCATTCCACCAATAGAGAATCGCTCTGATGGTATCAGCTGTATGTGCCAGGGAGTGGCCAATTTGGGGCACCACCACCTAATAGAGTCACTCTCCTAAAATGGAGGTCTCAAAGCCTTCTATGTCTCCATTCTGGGGAAAAGCCCAGACTACCTGATCCAGCACAGACACCTTGGCCTTCTCCCTCTTCTTGGCCTTCCTGAGGGGATTGGGGGGCTGCTGCCCCTAATACCCAGGCCTCCTCCCCTGGTAGGCCTGTATGAGCCCTGTGGAGGGTACCCTCTGAGGCACCTCCCTGACCCTGAGATACCAGCCCCTCTTTGGATGGCTAGCCATTTCTACCCAGGGGACCTGAGGGGCCACCTGCAACCCTGTGGCTGCCTCTCCCCTACCAGCCTACACACTCCCTGAGGATGAGGACCCACCAATTAAGCCCCTGCGATGCCTGGGGCCTAGCAGGGTATGTAACCTAGAGCAGGTGCTGAGCAAACATTCACTCCTGGCTTTCATTTGTGCTTGTCTGGTTCTGATTTCTAATTTGGTTTCCAAGTAAAGATGGATGAAGACACAGGCTCTGTGAGTGAATATAATTCTGAGAGTACGAGGGGAGTCTATGCCTTTCCACAGGAGCACCCTGCCTAGGATGGATGCTCTGTGATGTGCTCAGCAGACTGAAGTGGAGGCTGAGGCCCCAGAAATGTGAAGGACCTCCAGTGTAGAGCTGCCAGGTGGGGCTGACTCTGCAGCATGTAGCATTTCACTGATAGCTCCCACCCTTAGCAGCCTGACCCTTGGTCGGCCTTGATACACTCTCTGTGAAATCCTCACGGTCCTGAGCATCAGAGACTCCCCTCTGAGAAGTCCCCATTTCAAATCAAGCATTTTTTTCTTCCTTTTTTCACTGGAGGGGCCACAAAGTGCAAACAGAATAAAATTCTCTGTCCTCAAAACCATGTGCAAACCTGAACTTTCCCCAGCGACAGGAACAAGCCTTGGCACCCACTAACCTGTCTTTATTGACAGAATCGCCTGCAGGTCTGGCACTGGCAGCCACCACAGGCTCTGTGCAAGGCTTCGAGGCGCCGAAGGAGTTAGGGGTACTGGAGTCCAGTGGCAGTAGCTGTGGACTGCTGTGAGAAGAGAGCATGGTGCCCGCCAAGGAGCCCGAGAGGGGGATGCTGTTAAAGAATGCCGTGGAGAAGTCCCTGTCATCAAGTAAGAACAAAAGTCAGCCTTGAAAGTCAGGTGCCACATCCAGTACTTTATACATTCAAATAACTTTTTTCTAGGTCCAAAGGCAGTAGGTTTTCATGACAGAAAATCTGCAAAGTTACAGAAAAGTAAAAAGAAAATTAAAGCCACTTAATATACTATATATTTAATTGAATCTAGGATTTACAGGCTCTATATGTACTACTAAGAAAGAAAACAATGCTACTAATTGTCAGATGCCATTGATTGTACAACACACCCAAATCTCAGAGGTGTTAAACTGTGCAAACACGTCTTAGGAGGAATGAAATGCAGCAATACAGAAAGGGCCTCCCTTTCATGAAGGGCCAGGGGGCATGCCACTAGGTGGGTGTGCCATAATATACCTAACCCAGCCTCTACTGAGGGACCACAAGACTGTCTCCAGCTTTTTCTATAACAGATGCTGCTACACCAGGACGCAAGGTATTGCAGTGTCAAAACTGAGGATTCTGGGACAGCCAGGTCTGACTCCTCTGCCATTTGCAAGCTTGTGACTTGCTCCAACTACTCTTGTGCCTCCAGTCATGTCTGCAAAATACAAAGTGTCAGGACTCTCCCCATGGGGTTGCTGTCAGGACTAAAGTAGTTGCTGTAGGACACTCTTAGAACACACATTAGCTGCTCAAAGAATTATGAAATTCTAACAAGTGTCATTACACCTAAGATTCACATAATACATGGGATAAATTCTTAGAAGTGGAATTGTAGCAGCAAATGAAATGTTCACTGATGATTTGGAATAAATATTTCTAAAGTGCCCTCCTCAGAGGTTTAAATTATAAGCCATGTATGAGAGCACCTATTTCTCCACATAGGTGCTTAGTAACACTTTTATCAAATTTCTTGACACTTAACAATCTGACAGAAGAAAAATGGTATCTTACTTTAATTTTGATATGAGTGATGTTGACATTTTTTCTTTTTCTTTTTTTTTTGAGATGGAGTCTCACTCGTCACCCAGGCTGGAATGCAGTGGTGCGATCTCGGCTCACTGCACGTTCCGCCTCAAGGGTTCATGCCATTCTCCTGCCTCAGCCTCCCAAGCAGCCCGCCACTATGCCCGGCTAATTTTTTGTATTTTTAGTAGAGACGGGGGTTCACCGTGTTAGGCAGGATGGTCTCGATCTCCTGACCTTGTGATCCGTCTGTCTTGGCCTCCCAAAGTGCTGGGATTACAAGAATGAGCCACCATGCCCAGCCGACATTTTTTCAAAACAGAAATACTTGATTTCCGGCCAGACGCAGTGGCTCATGCCTGTGATCCCAGTGCTTTGGCAGGCCGAGGCAGGTGGATCACTTGAGGTCAAGAGTTCGAGACCAGCCTGGCCAACATGGTGAAACCCCCTGTCTCCACTAAAAATACAAAAATTAGCCGGGCATGGTGGTGGGCACCTGTAATCCCAGATACTTGGGAGGCTGAGGCAGGAGAATCTCTTGAATCTGGGAGGCAGAGGCTGCAGTGAGTTGAGATCACACCACTGCACTCTAGCTTGAGCAAGAGTGAGACTTCACCTCAATTAAAAAAAAAAAAGACAGAAATACTTGACTTCCTTCTTTTTGTGAACTGCATGTTCATATGCTTTGTCTACTGTTTTGTTATTGGTCTTTATTACTGATTTGTAAAAACTATTTACATATTAAAAAACATTCCTTATAAGGTAGGAAATATTTTCCCTGGGATATTGTGCTTCAACTATTTATGGCCTTTTTTATTTTATTTTTTATTTTTTGAGATGGAGTCTTGCTCTGTCACCAGGCTGGAGTGCAGTGGCGCAATCTCGGCTCACTGCAACCTCTGCCTCCCAGGTTCAAGCGACTCTCCTGCCTCAGCCTCCCAAGTAGCTGGGACTACAGGGGTGCGCCACCACACCCAGCTAGTTTTTGTATTTTTTAGTAGAGACGGGGTTTCACCATGTTGGCCAGGATGGTCTCCATCTCTCGACCTCGTATCTGCCTGCCTCGGCCTCCCAAAGTGCTAGGATTATAGGTGTGAGCCACCACGCCCAGCCAGTCTATCTTTTAAATGCACTAAAATTTTTAAATTTTTGTGTACTCTAAATTGTCACTTACAGAAAATAATTTTTTGACCTCTGAGATTATAAAAAATACTCTTCCGGGGAATCTTCTAAAATTTTAAACAAAAATATTTTAAACAACAAAAAGTTAAACGAACTCTAAGCTGTTTAGAATGTATGTAATAAATTGTGAGGTTGGGACCCAACATTGTTTCTAGTGGTGGGGCGGGGGCATGTAGTCCTGTCTTCCATTTACTGAATTAGCTAATGTTTTATCACTGATGTGAAAAGGTACCTTTAAAATTCCCATAAATACTCGGGCCTATTTTCTGATATTCTATCATATTCCACTGCTCTATGTATTCATGTGTCAACACCTCACTGTTTTGAGTATGACAGCCTTTAAGTTTTAATTTCTGGTGGGGCTAGTCTTCCCTGATTAATCTTCTTTTTCAGAAATATTTCAGCCATTTCTATTTATTTTTCCACATAACTTTATTTTATTTATTTATTTATTTGATACAAAGTCTTACTCTGTCACCCAGGCTGGAGTATAGTGGCACGATCTTGGCTCACTGCAACCTACCAGGTTCAAGCAATTCTCCTGCCTCAGCCTCTGAGTAGCTGGGACTGCAGGCGCGCCACCACTCCCAGCTTATTTTTATATTTTTAGTAGAGACGGGGTTTCACCATGTTGGCCAGGCTGGTCTCAAACTCCTGACCTCAGGTATCTGCCTGCCTTGGCCTCCCAAAGTGCTGGGATTATAGGTGTCAGCCACTGTGCCCAGCCGAGTTTTCCGCATAACTTTATAGTTACCGTGTCTGATTCCAAAAATTCCTATAGTTATTTGTACTGGTTAAATTTATAGGCTACAGGAGAGCTGACATCTTTATGATGCCATCCTAGCTAATCAATGGTATGAATTTCTAGTTATTTCTTTGAGTTTTCTTTGAAGCCTCGACGTAGGGTTTTAAATTTTTTCTTCATTAAGGTCTACATCTCTGGTTGCATCCTAGTTATTTTATTTGTGAATGTGACTTATTTCTTTATGCGCTCTGAGGATAGTTGGTGCTACCTGACTTCATGTTGATTGTATCCAGCCACCTGACTATCTTCTTTCATTGCCTATGGCAGCTTTTCCAGTTGATTCTGTTATAAACCATATCATCCTTAAATAATTATCCTTTCCAATTTGTTCTTTCCTTTGACTAACTACATGGGCTAGGACCTATAGAACAATGTTAAATTATAGTTGCAAGAGTAGGCATTTGTTCAGTTTTTGAACTTAATTTGAAATAAGATAATTTATCGAGTTAAGGAAGCATCCACCTACTCCCATTTAACTGAGTTTTAAAAATTACGTTGAATTTTACCAAAATGCCTCTTAAGCATCAATGAAAGAGATCATATAATTTTTTTTCTTTTGATCTACTGATATGTAGAACTAAATAGTTACCTAAAATTTGAACTTCCTTACTTTCCTAAAACAAACCTCACTTGGTCATGGTATATTAGCCTTTAACAAGCAGTAAGGTTCTGTTTGTTACTATTTCACTTAGATTTTGCACTGACGTTCAGAAATGAGAGTGATCTTGAATTTATTATGTTTTATCCTTGTAAGATTTTGATATAAATATTATGTTCATTTCAAAATAAAAATTTGCACATTTCTTCTCCATGCACTAGAATATTTAAAATGGTGTTAACGGTTACCTGAGTTACCTGTTCCTGAAAAGTTCCTAAAGTTTCCCTGTGAAGCCATCTTAGTCTGGTGGCTTTGGTGGGGTTAACTTTGTCCTCTATTTCTTCCACAATAATTTTTCACTTTTAGTAATTTTATTTTCTTCAAAAACTATCCATTTTCTGTGCAAATTTATTTGCACAGAGTTCAGCAAAGAAGTCTCTCATCTTTTTGATTTGTCTGCTATTATTTCTCACTTATACCTACTTTGCATATTTATGCTTTTTCTTTTTTCTTGATTAGCTAAGCTAATAAGGACCTATTCTGTTGCTACTTGTTTATTAGAATGTGGGAATCGGGAGGGCAAAAAGCTTTTAATACCAAAGGAATCAGGTCCTGGTGCCAGAAATATGCATCCTATGTCAGAAAGTTGGCCCCAGACCAGACCTACCCCTTCTCACCAGGTAAGGCCTGGAAGGATCCACAGAACAAAGTGCTACCATCAACAACACCACCTCCCCATCCCACAGGCTCAGTGTGCTCAGAGCTCAACCACACACTGGGTCTCACTTGGTCCTAGTAAAAGGTAGGTAGGGGCATTATCACCTATAGGGTCACAATAGGAAAAAGACTTAGTCAAAAGAAAATGAGTGCTCTGTGGGGAGTCAGCAGACCTGGTTCTGGCTCTACTCACGGGGACCTCAGAGCCTGCACATCTAACATGAGGAGACTGGATCTGTACACTGTACAAGAGAAGGTTTCTTCAGACACCAAGGAAGATGTGGAATAGCTTGTGGATGGACAACTGCAAAACGCAGAGGCCTAAAGTGTGTGGTCTCTATGAAGGGCTTACAAATGCCCTGAGCAGATAGGTGGAATGAGAATAAACCCAGAGTGAACTGCCTTGACAGTGGGGGTCTATTTCTTTTACATAGGGCCTTATCATTTTTCTTTCTTTTTTTTTGAATCAACACACATCATTTTGGGAAGAATAATCAATTCAAAAACAATCCTCACTATATACACTGGGACAACAGCAAGTGGTGAATGAGTCTCTTCCCCATCTCTGTCCCCAACAGGAAAATGTGTTTCAGAGCCCTACCCTCTGCCCAGTAATTCTACTTCTAGAAGTTATCCTGAGAGAATCACAGGTGAGCTCAAAGACTCATTTATAATCATGAGAAACTGGACACAATACAAGTCCACAGTGAACTGGCTAAGCAAATCCTAGGACGGGAACCTGGATAATCAGACAGTAAATGCCTCAGAGGACTAGTTATTAAAATGGATGAATGGGCAAGAAACAGTAACAAGTGGGGTAAAAAAGACTGGAAATACAGATATCAAAATGTTAACAGTGACTGTATCTGATTATGGATAATGTTTTTATCTTCTTTGGGCTTTTACAATTTTCTAAATTTAACCATGTGTAAATATACCTTTCATAATCATAAAAATAACTTTATGAAAGAAAAAAAAGAAAAAAAAAATCAGCCTGACTGACTGCCTTCCTTGTGCGTCCTCTGGTGCCCTGGCAACAGTGAAGTGCAGCAGATGTGCTGGCTGCCTTAGCACTACCACCCACCACGTGATTCAGGTGCGCACAAGGGCTCCAGGAAGAGTATGGGCTTTGAGACTCTGGGAAGCTGAGCTCGACTTCCTTGCTTCCACGTTCTACCAGTCAGGTTGTGAAGGGCCTATGAAGATCCTCACCGTGAAAGTGTTAACCGCTGAAAGAAGACAGGAAGATCTCACCAGATAAGATCATGAAAGGGGAATGAACCAGTACCCAGTGTCCAGCTGTGCTATGCAGAGAGGTGTGATTCTTCTCCGACCATCTGCCGTCCGAGTCTCAACTTGTTTCTTCAGAAGATTCTAGCAAAGCGGAGTTACATAAATGAATGCAAAAGTTTCTGCCAACTATTTCCAAATATTAAAAAATAAAGTCTATTTTTTTTCCTCGTGATAAGAACACTGAGCATAAGATCTACCCGCTTAGCAAAGTTTTAAGTATGCAATATCATATTGTGAACTGTAGGCACTCTGCTGTAGGGGAGATCTCTAGGACTTATTCATCTTCTATAACTTAAACCTTATACCCTTTGGCTAATAACTCTCATTTTCCTCTGACCCCAGTATTCACCATTCTATTCTTTGCCTCTGTGAGTTTGACTATTTTAGATTCCTCATATAAGAGGTATCATGCAGGCCAGGCGCGGTGGCTCATGCCTGTAATCCCAGCACTTTGTGGAGGCCAAGGTGGGCGGATCACGAGGTCAGGAGATCGGACCATCCTGGCCAACATGGTGAAACCCCATCTCTACTAAAAACACAAAAATTAGCTGGGCGTGGTGGTGTGTGCCTGTAATCCCAGCTACTTGGGAGGCTGAGGCAGGAGAATCGCTTGAACCAGGGAGCTGGAGGTTGCAGTGAGCCAAGATTGCACCACTGCACTCCAGCCTGGTGACAGCGACACTCCATCTCAAAACAAAAAAAAAGAGGTATCATGCAGTATTTGTCCTTCTGTGTCTGGCTTATCATTAATTTGTACACATTAAGTATGTATAACTTTTTATATGTCAATTATACCTCAACATGGTAGGTTTAAAAATAATAAGGCTTCTAAGGAAATGTATTCTAAATTCTCCTTCTAAGCCCTTCTGGTACAACTAAACAAGACACCTAAGCAAAGAACAAGCAGTGGGTGCATGCCACACTAGCCGCCCCACACAACAGCCATGGAAAGGGCTAAAGGACTGAGCCCTGCACCCATGAACCACATGTCTGTCACTGAGCTAGGGATTTTCTCTCCTTTTTTTTTTTTTTTTTTTTGAGACAGAATCTCACTCAGTTGCCCAGGCTGGAGTGCAGTGGTGCAGTCTCGGCATACTGCAACCTCCACCTCCTGGGTTTAAGCAAGTCTCCTGTTCAGCCTCCCATGTAGCTGGGATTACAGGCATGCACCACCACACCCAGCTAATTTTTGTTTTTTTTTCTTTTAAGTACAGACAGGGTTTCATTATGTTGGCCAGGCTGGTCTGGAACTCCTGACCTCAAGCGAGCTGCCCGCCTCAGCCTCCCAAAGTGCTGGGATTACAGGCGTGAGCTGCCGTGCCTGGCCTGAGGTAGGGATTTTCAAACTGACTTTCAAAATAGAATCCTTCCTTCCACAGAAAGCTCATAACTAGGGGTTTTCTCTCATTCTTTATATTTGAATTGCCTGGAGGAGCTTTGTCAGCCTACATAGGCTCCTGGAGATGGATTTAACTCCCCAAGCAATAACATTCCCTACCCTTTTCCTGCCCCATTTCCAACCCCTTCTCATCAAACATGGCTTCCAGATGAAGGGGAACCCACAGAAGTCTCCTAAGGGCAGGGACCGAAACCCACTGTTGTTAGCATCTAGGATTTCCTAGAAAGGCCAGCAGGATAAAGTTCGTAAGTTCTTACAAGAGACGACCTTCTCTGGGCTCCTGGGGATAAGGTCTTTGATAAAGGGGATCCAGGCCCTATGCAGCAGTTGGCAAGGGGCCAACAGGCCCGAGGCTGGCTAACCCATGGATCCCATGCCAAACTAAACAAATCCCTTCCTTCCCACCACTGATGTCTGCCCTTCACCCTGTCCCTGGGCATATGTCCATGTCTTTAGTGCCATCAGGCAGGGCTCTCACCTTCCTGATATCTTCAAGACTCTCCCCATTGACGACACCTGCGACTGAGGTGGCTGAGCCCATCTCCCTGGTCGCGGCACTCTTCTGGTCCAGCTGCTGCTGCTGCTGCCTCCGTTGGTACTTGAGCATCTCAGGGTTCTCAATGACGGCTGTGGAGAGCTGGGCCTCGGTCATGATGGCCAGGCTCTTGCCATAGGTGGACTGGTGAATGCGGCTCTGGGGAAGCAAGAGAGGCAAAACATGCCAGAGTGAGCATCAGTGTGGCCAGTGCTGCCCACCAGCAGGCAAACCACAGCAGGGCTCTCCTGGCTCTGAGCAGAGAAGGGACCCAAGGCCAACTCCCCATCGCCTCCCACCCTATTCTGCCTGTCCCTCATTTGACGGCTCTGTTGATGTCTCATGCTCTCCCTCGATGTTTATGGCCTCCCTTGTATCCGTAACTGGGAGGACAGTAAATGAGACAGCCAACAAGACAACACTGCCCCACAGTCTGGTGCAGAACAAATAACAATCCACAGTGCTTCAATGGAAAGGAAGATACTCAAGGTGCTAACTTAAGGCTCTTAAGGACCCAAATGCATTTGGGAATCAGATCCTAGAACAAGAGTCTACTTTCACAGCTCATTTGTAGCCATCAGCCCTGTGGTTGGAAGTCCCCATTGGCCTGCTTACAGTGTCTCTAAGAGTATGGGAAGGCCTGGCACAGCAGAGATGGGGAGCCTCCTTTACTCCCACCCCTCCTAGTATGTCATCATACTCCCTTCCTCCTAGGCCCTCGTAGTCTTGTCCCCTAACAAGCTAGACAGAAGCCTCATGAGAGCAGAGATGGTGTCCCCAGCACACTGTAGTAATGGCTGTACATGAAAGTGCATGAGGAACAGACTTCCATGGGATGTGCAAATGTCCAACGTGGGATTCTGCCCAAGAACAGGGACTGTGGTTAACAGGACATCTGCTTTACACCAGAGTATGGGTTGAGAGGCAGCATTCCAAGAGAGGTGCCTCAGGACTCGCTCCTGCAGGGCTTGGATGTGGCCAGGAACCTCCTTCTCTTGCCATCTTGGCTCCTGCCCTTCTCTCCTGAGTCTATCGCCTGGAATCTCGAGGCAGAATTCAGGGTTTGGCCAGAGTTTCCCTGGTGTTCCTCCAACATGGAGTCCTAGCCTGTGACTTGGGAAATGGTAAGCAGATGGGTTATTAGACTCCCAGAGTGACTCCAAAGGAGTGCATAGTGATCCCCAGGTACCTGATGACAGTGACAAGATTGGAGGAGGACCTGAGGCCACTGAGATACTCATTCCTTCATGGAAAAATGATGGGGTGGCAGGACCCATTCTATGTGCAGTCACTAAGGCAGACCTCTCCTCCAAAGGGGTTCACATTTTAGTGGGGAGGTCACACTGTAGGTTAAGAGGAAGCTTCCACCAGCAAATAAGGTCATATGAGAGAGCTGCCAGCCTGCTCTGGGCTTTCACAGAGCTCCCTTCAGACACATACACACATCCTACCAAGCAGAGGCAGGTTTCTAAGCCTATGGTAGGTGAAGTAGGGTTTTTCTCAAAACCTGGAAGAAGGACACAGAGACCCCATCACCCCGGCAGAGCACGGAGGGGAGGTGGCCTGGCCCAGAGGCAGCAGGCCTGGTTCCCTCTTCTGACCTAAGGGTCACACACGGTCTGGGCAAAGAGCCATGCTATTTTCTGAGGCTTAGTTTCCATATCCACGAAATGTATGAGCCCTGCCTTGAAGGGTTTTCTGCAATTTAAATGAAATCATATATGCAAAACACATTCCCAGAGCCTGGCAGACAATACGTTCTAAGAAATGACCAATATTACTACCATGAAGGGGAAAATGACATGAGCAGGGGCCCCTGAGGAGTCACTTCAGCTCTTTCCCAGAACAAAAACCTCCCAGTGGATGGCCTATTATCAGCTCAAGAAGAGATGCCTAAAATAGTTCTACTTTTAACTCCAGGACTTATTTCTGAAATGGGAACTCGTTTTTTAATTGATCTATTTTGTAAAGAAGGATTACAAGATATAAAAGACAAATATCCCATTACATGTTAAGAAATGACGTGTCTGTGAATCCCACAAGAAGAGGGTGTAGTCAAAGGGGTCTCTCAGAGCTATTGTGGCTATGGTCACAGAGCACCCAGCAGCACAAAGGCCGTCAGCCTACCTTCTCCTCCTCGCTCAGGGGATCACCAAGCTCATCCTGGGAGAAGTCGAGGAATGCCACAGAGCCATCCATAGAGCACACCAAGATGCCCAGCCCATTCAGAGTCCTGAAAGACATGGACATCAGCAGCCTGGTAGCAAGAGCCCCAGGCAGACACATATGCCATAGCAGCTGGCCTGTGAGGATGGTGGGCAGTGTTCTAGGGAGATGCTGGAAACTCCTGGTTCCCTTCTGTGGCCTGAGGGTGGGGGGGCGGGGGGCAACAATTGTGTCCCAAACGGCCCTGGTGTTCTTTAGTTCTAAGCAGGTGTACAAAGTATCTGCCCAGGTCACTGAGAAGCAGAAAGTGTGCTTCTGACTTTGGTTCATGCAATGACGGAGTAAAGTAGAACACACTAGGATCACGTCATTCTCCTCGTCTTAGACAAATCCTGAAAAGGCATTTTCCAGTAGCAAATCCTGCACAGGCAGGACATTCTCACAGCAGCAGGTACACTGCTGCCAGTTTCCAAAACATGTGCAAACAGCACTCTTGGTCTGGGCCACTATGACACCTGGGGAGGGGTCGCTGGCCACCTGACCCTAGTCACATCCAGGAGGCCTCACGTTCCAATGTGTGGCTTCTCCTTTCTTAACCTATTCTTGTAAGTAGAATCCACCTTACCAGGAAATATCCATGATGGATTTGTCAAACAGTTCATGGATGACCACCAGCGGCCGTTTTAGACATGTGAGCTGGAAGGAAAGACACAGTCAAGGTTAATGAAATTACTAAAATTCCCTTCTGTATTCAGCTCAGTTAACATAACCAACCTAGAAGCTTTGGTCAGAGCGGCTGCTGATATTTAAGGTATCTTCAACTCTATTCAAACTACAGCTGCAGAGATCCCAAACTGTGGGTACCAAAGCCTGCCAAAAATGTGCATGCTACCTAGAGTGGACCCTGCCTCCAGGGCTTGCTGTGGTCTGACAGAGGAAACAGCTTTATACACAGACAACGAGCAATGGAGAAGGCAGAGTGGGAGCGGGTTTCTGAAGGACTATGGTCGGAGCAGAGGGACAGCTCCAGAGTGGACCTCTGAGAGAGTCTATGGAGCAGGAGACAGGATAGCAAAGCCTAGACAGTGGATGAAGCACCCTGAGAGAGAACACAACACATTTTCCCTGGGCCCAAGGGACTCTGGTACACATTTATCCAAGGCTCATTCTACACTATGTGCAGGTAGTACAGAAATACACACCTGGGCCCTTAATCTAGGCCCAGTTACTGACTATTAATACTTTGATGAATTATTTTCTTCTATTTTGTGCAAATATTTATTTTATTCTTCAAAGTAAGAATTTATTTTATTCAAATTTATTTTATTCTTCATGGTTGTGTCTGCTTTTTCATTTAACACACAATAAGTATGTCATTACATATCTTGTAAAAGTCTCTTTTGGATGACTGCATAGCATGCACTGTGTGCATATTCTCTATTGAGTCACTCATTTGCTGGCATACATGCTGACTCCACATTCCAACGGCTATGGTAGGCTCTTCCTCTTGTGCACAAGTGCCTGGCTACCCTGCTGGCTAGCCCTGAGCTGCAGGATGATGGGCTGGGAAGAAACACACTTCCTCACAGGATGGTGGGCTCCCACAGGTGCTGCTGTAGCTTCTGGGAGGCTGTGGGGCTGAGCGTCCCAATGCAGCCTGAGACTGCTGTGTGGGGAAGAAGTTGTGTCTACCCTAGTGCTGGAGAGGGGGCTGAAGTCTGAACTATCTGGAACCCACATTAAGAATCTTGCCTCCACCTTAATTCCACTTCTAGAAAAAGCTGCCTTGTCCCTCCTCCCATAAATGTGCCTACAGACCCCTCAGAAATCTGCAGGCTGTGTGACTACCTGACCTGAGCATTCTAAGAAATATGGGCATCACAGTCAGTGATGTTTTGGTTGCAGCACCACAAACAGGGCCTCTGGCTGGGAGGAAACAGGGAAGGTCCCCTGAACGGCTCTCTGTGGTACTGTGGTTCAGGTTCCAGAATGGGTGTTAAGTGAATACTGGGCCTAAAAAAAGAAAAAAAATCACAACGCACACAGTAATAGATTTCTCTGTAACAAACTAATAAATGCAGCCAGAGGATAACCTTCAAACCCAGAACACTTCAAACTTGCTCTGCTTATAGGGACACTTTTTTACAAAACGAAAAAAAAAATTTAATGTGTATGCACTTTGCTTTATCAAACTTTAAATATATTGGCACCTTGATGCTCAGCAGCAAGACTGCTCCCTGCACTGCATGTAGAGGTGTCTCTCACCACACAGTCAGGTCACAGCACACCAGTCACTGGCAGTGAGAAACTTAACCCTTCAAGAGCTCTCACTTAGAAATGGCCACAGTTCTTACTCTTGGGTTCTCACTCGCCAACTACCATTGAACATATCTGCTGAGAACCTACTCTGTGGAGGGCACTGAGTTAGGAAGGTGAGAGGAACAATGAAACTGAAGACACATCGGGCTGGGTGTGGTGGCTCACACCTGTAAGCCCAGCACTTTGGGAGGCCGAGGCAGGTGGATCACCTGAGGTCAGGAGTTTGTGACCAGCCTGGACAACATGGTGAAACCCCATCTTTACTAAAATTACAAAAAAATTAACCGGGTGTGGTGGCCTGTAATCCCAGCTATTCAGGAGGCTGAGGCAGGAGAATCACTTGAACCCAGGAGGCAGAGGCTGCAGTGAGCCAAGAAGCCAAGATCGTGCCACTGCACTCCAGCCTGCTGGGCAATAGAGGGAGACTCCGTCTCAAAAAAAAAAGAAGCTGAAGACATCGCCTCCTCTCAGGGGATGCAGTGAGGAGCACCAGGCTCATAACCTTACCCATCACAGCATCACCCAGGGGTGAAATGGACTAACAAATGGAGGCGTCAGCTTTCTGTGTGTCTTTTTCTGTTGACATAAGCACTTATCTGTCTTGGTTATATGCCTAGGAGTGGAAGTGCTCCAGGTCATATGCCCAGCTGTGGTAGAAACTGCCAAACAGTTTTCCCAAGTGCTCATGCCAGGGAACACCTGTCAGCAACACCTGTATCAGTTCCAGCTTATCATGTCCTTGCTGACACCTGGTACTATCTTTTTTTTTTTTTCTTTAATTTTAGCATTCTACTCGTAGGCATGTACTCACAAATAAATGAAAACATATGTCCACATAAAGACTTATACAAGAATGTTCATATCAGCTTTAGTCATAATATCTCAGAACTGGAACAACCTTAATGTCCATCAACAGGAGACTGTATAAACAAATTGTAGTGTATTCATACAGTGGAATACTACACCGAAATTATAAGGAATAAAATATTGTTAAGTGCAGCAACATACACGAATCTCAAAAACACTGTGCCAAGCAAAAGAAATGAAGACACAAAGAAGCAAGCACCACACAATTGCATTTATATGAAGTTCAAGGGCAGGCAAAACTCATCAATATAACAGAGGCCATTAGAGTGGTTGCTTTGGTGGTGAGGAAGGTCTTGACTGGGGAGGGACAAAGGGACAAAAAGGAGTGCTCTAGGGAGTGATGACACTGGTGTGTAAACATGTATGACAACTCACCAAGCTGTACCTTTCAGGTGAATACACTTTATATAAAGATTTTTCTTTTTTCTTTTTTTTTTTTTTGAGACGGAGTCTCGCTCTGTCGCCCAGGCTGGAGTGCAGTGGCGTGGTCTCGGCTCACTGCAAGCTCTGCCTCCCGGGTTCACGCCATTCTCCTGCCTCAGCCTCCTGAGTAGCTGGGACTACAGGCGCCCGCCACCACGCCTGGCTAATTTTTTGTATTTTCACCATGTTAGCCAGGATGGTCTTGATCTCCCGACCTCGCGATCCGCCTGCCTCGGCCTCCCAAAGTACTGGGATTACAGGTGTGCGCCACCGTGCCCGGCCATATAAAGATTTTGGGAAGCAAGCCCAAGATGCTGCTCATGGCATTGACCACTGAGGGTGCTGCCCGAGCCTGGACACGAGAGTTGGTCTAGCTGGGGGTCAAGGTGGCCTCTCCTGGCTGGGCACAGACCCAGTCTTCAGCATTTCCTTCTGGGAGAGCAGGAGAGCCTGTGAGCTTCCAAGGAGGGGCTGACCCCGGGTGCAGAGTAGAAGTACACTCTGAGCATCACCCAAAGCAGGTCTCTCTTTCCTCCACTCGCTACTTTGCCAACCTACACCTCCCGTCCTGCAACAAAAGCTCAGGGTAGCAGGCTCACCCAGACAGAAAGCGAGCGGTCCTTGCTGCCAACAGCGCAGCAGCAGTACGGGCAGCTGGGCTTGGCAGAACTCCCATTCTTCTGCTTCTTTTTGAAGATTTTTGGGTTGAATTTCTAAAGCCAAATAACAAATGTTAAAAATAATTAATCAAGCATGAGGCATGTCCCCTGTGCCCAAGTCCCAGCCCGCTGAAAGGAGTCTCCCACAGACATTCTCTGAGTCCAGGCACTGAGCATGCATTTCATCTTCCTGACCACCTATGAGGCATCTGGCTGACGATGGAAAGGAGGCTTAGGGAGGTCAGAAAGTATGTGCGGAGGCACCAAATGAGTAAGCTGGGAAACGTGCAGATTTGAAACTAGCGCTACCAAACTCTCCATTTCTGAAGCATGCCAAGTAGAGGGGATGGGTAGCTATTGAAACTAGCCTTCTCAATTCCCTCTGGCCTGGCAGGGCCAGCCCTAGGACCTGCAGAAAAGCTGAGCCTGCAAGGGGGCTTCAGAAACAAAGACCTTCTCACTCCCTATTTCCTAAGGGAGGCCAAGGGGATGGGCAGGAGGGGTGTGAACCTCTGAATTCCTGAATTTCTTCTTGCCTCACTGCATGTGTTGTTCAGTTATAACCGTCTAGCAGAGATCTGCTCAGAGAGTCATTTGTGATCTCCCTGGGCCAGTGGCCACGGCAATATCACACAAAGGTGCCTGGTTGGCTGCTTAGTCCAGGGAGCTACCTCCAGAGTAACTTGTCTTTCTTTTTGGAAAGGATGAAAGCACTCACTGAGCTCCCAGCTACCTTCCTGGATTTAAAGCGGGTGGGCGCTCTGGGAATCCTCAACCTAGGACAACTGAGGGCAGAGGAAGGAGGGTTCTTGAAAGTCTGATGTCAGGTAGCCTAGAGATGTTTTAATTCCAGAGGGTAGGCAGGAATGGTCGGGATGCACAGAGACTGGAGAATATGGAACTCAGAGGCATGTCCCTGGGCTTACTGCTTCCAACACCAATGAGGCTGCAGGGCCTTGGGAGCTCTGTGAGCCATAGGCAGGCGGCGTGATCTCCCAGAGCCACTAATGAAGTGGTTGTGAGGACTGCATGGGAGAATTATGTAGAGCACTAACCATGAAGCAGTGATTTCCAAAGACTTTAATAACAAAGCTCTGGTTCAAACAAAACCCTACATGGACTCCAAAACAAAAAAATTTAATATGTAATATTTTATTTATACAAAATTTGTGTTTTAAGGTACAATATATAGATACTTATTATCTTTTTTTTTTTGAGATGGAGTCTTGCTCTACTGCCCAGGCTGGAGTGCGGTGGCACAATCTTGGCTCACTGCAACTTCCGCCTGCCAGGTTCAAGTGATTCTCTTGCCTCGGCCTCCTGAGTAGCTGGGATTACAGGCGCACGACACCATGCCCAGCTAATTTTTATGTTTTTAGTAGAGATGGGGTTTCACCATGTTGGTCAGGCTGGTCTCGAACTCCTGACCTCGTGATCTGCCCATCTCAGCCCCCGCAAAGTGCTGAGATTACAGGCGTGAGCCACCACATCCAGCGGATACTTATTATCTATTCAAACACAGGCAAAAATGAGTCCATTTTCATCAGGGTCTTGGATGATCCTTAAGTTTATATCAACCTTAGCCCATCAATCTGTTTATTTTATTGGCTGCCCAGTGTTGAGAAAATCCTGGTTCTCACAGATTATTTGCAACTACTTAATGGCTTGCCTTGGGCTCTCTCAGGACACTATTTAATTAAAGTCATAGAGAAGCATAAGACGAGTGGCCAGACAACTCTCACGCCTAAGGACTGACAGCAGCTTCCAACTCAGTGATCTATGGCATGGCCTTGCACCTGTGGTTGATGCTGCCAGGTATGGGGATAAGTGCAGTGCTTGGTGGGTGCACCAGAATCCTACCTGTAATCACTGGAGCCAGGTGAGGGGGACACTGTGCTTGGGCACTCCTGAGCATACCTGAGTGTGTAAAAGGCTGATGTGGAGCTACAATGTTCCTAACCCAAGACTGACTTTGGTGATGTTCACCATGTAAAGTTTGCCAATAAATCAACCAAGTACATACTCTATTTTGTAAAATTAGTTTTTAAATATTTAAGTATAACTATTCAAAATAAACCAAGAATTAATATTTGCTGAATCTTGGAGCCCATCTTCCTTCAGTTCCCTGGGCACTCACCACGACAGTCACAGCTTTCCGGTGCCCAACAAAGTCCATGTTGGTCTTCCATCCCTCCCGTTCGATGATCTGGGCAGTGGGGCCTGAGTTGTTCATGGCATGGGCAGACACTAGGTAATGCCCATCAGGTGACCAGCTGAGCCGCAACACATGGGTCGTTCCTCCACACTGAAAGAAGCATCTGCACTTGAAAGGAGCTCATGGTCACCGTTGTGACCAAAACTCTGGCCTCAAGGATAAAGTTAAACTTCAATTTATAAATGTGTGATGGTGGAGCATGCACCCCAAGCTTCTGGCTACACTGACAGTTTCTGTGTCTCCAGATGGCCCAACCAAAAAGGGCTCTGTGAAATGAATTTGGAAACTGCAGCATCCTACACTCCCCAGGAGGAGCTGAACAAAGAAATACAGTACAGAAGTGTAGGCCCTGAGGAGATCTGCAGGAAGGCTACCTGTTTGAACCATAGCCTCTGTGTGGGCCAAATCTCTCTGGCCACTGACCCAATTCTTCTGTGTAGCACCTGTTAACCCACAGCATGGCATCTGCACAGCATCCTCAAGATATACTCTGGTGGGGAAAAAGCTCTTTTTAACCCAGGAGCCTGGCAGAAGCCTGTGTCTGTAATGTAGCTGACGACCATGAGGCACCACCTACTCTCTTGAGCCTGTTGCCTCACCCAAAGGGTGGTGAGGACACCTGCAAGGGACAAGAGGTTTGTAACATCCTTATAAACTGTAAAAGGAACAGTAGAAAGGCACTGTTCCCCCAACCTGGACTGGGGACTGAGGCAGAACATCCCTTTACATTATTCCTCCTGCAAAATGAGATGACATGGGTCCAGAGCCAGCTCCCTGAAGCTCAAGGTGGGCCCAGGGCAGTTCTAAACACTTAAGGGTTAAGATCATGATCTTACAACTCTAGAGCAGGACAGGACAAACCAGGGCCTGAGTGTAGTGAAATCACCCACTTCAGCTCCCAGCCTAGGCCATAGATCCACCCCCTACCCGGAATGATGGGCCCATCCAGTGGAGGCTGAAGAGTACTACCAGCTCCTGCTGGTACTCACGACACTCCTAAAGCCGTCCCTAGGAGTCCACCTCATGGGACCCCAATGCCTGGCAGTCAGAGCCCTGAGGAACTCCAGAAGGAGCAAAAGCTCTTCAGGGCAAGACTAAGTAAGGTAAAAACCAGTAGTCATATATCTAGCCCAGGAGCTGGTATTGTGCGGGGAGAAGTGAACATATGACTATCACCTTACTTTTGCAGTCATCCTGACCAGTGGGCAAATGCCTGCTCTTCCTGCAAACCTTCACACATGTGTCCCTCGCTCTGTGAAGTCTTCCCTGATGCACTCGCCTCTCCTGGGTTGTTTCTGCACTCTGGACCACTCCATCATCATGCAACTAATGGGAATGCCTGTCTTTCCTAAGCGGCTTTAAGCTTCAAGAGGAGAGACTCCATCTCAATCCACTTTTATCTTCCTGTGCCCAGTTACTGCCTTCTATACAACAGACACTTAATAAATGTGTAATGAACAATGGTGATCTTGAGCTTTCATTCCATTTGAAATCAGAACTCAAATAAAGGAAGAGTAAAATACTAGAGAAGCTACTGCAGTCTGATTTCCAAATGTGCAAACTGTACTGCTAACTCTAGCCAGGAAAAAAGGCCCCTGAACTGCAGGGTGCATATCAACAAGCACAGGGGATGGCAGAAGAGTCTCCTCCATCCTGCCCTGGCCCCCAACAAGCTGCACTGCGGGAGGCTCAGAGTAAATTCCACACTATAAGCAGCAGTTTTATCCATGTCTGTGGGAGTGAGCTGGGTGACAGAATGATGTGGAGACATCTCTAAGGTTCACTTCAACTTTAAACCTATAAATCTGGGCCGGGTGCAGTGGCTCATGCCTGTAATCTCAGCACTTTGGGAAGCTGAGACAGGTAGATCACCTGAGGTCAGGAGTTCGAGACCAGCATGGCCAACATGGTGAAACCCCGTCTCTATTAAAAATACAAAAATTAGCTGGGTGTGGTGGTGGGTGCCTGTAATACCAGCTACTCAGGAGGCTGAGGCAGGAGAATTGCTTGAACTTGGGAGGCGGAGGTTGCAGTGAGCCAAGATCATGCCACTGCACTCTAGCCTGGGCAACAAGAACGAAACTCTGTCACCAAAACAAAACAAACAAAAAACAACAAAACTATAAATCCCTTTCATTTCAAAGTTGGAAATTAAACAGCATCTCAGAAATGAAGGATTTTGTATTATCTGACTCTTAGGGCCAGAGTCCCACCCCAGAGAGCCTTGGTAAATCCGCTCAGGCTCCCAGACTCGGTGCATTCCCCAGGTGGCCTGGCCCATGGCCAGCTCCCTCTCTGCACACAGAAGTCAGGAAGGGGCTGGGGCAGTTGCTGGGGCTCAGCTCCCTGAGCTGTCCCCACTTACCTCATCAAAAGGCTTGGTGATGCTGGTCTCCAACTGCCAGTCCAGCGTCCTCCACACCTTTAGGCTGCGGTCATCAGCTTGAGAGGCTATGTATTTACCAACAGGGTCCCATGTCAACCCTTTGACCAAGCCAGAATGACCTCTCAGAGTAGCTAGAATTTCTGTGAAGAAAAAAGGAATGTGGAGAGGTGTCATCTGGGGAAAATGTGACCTCAATCCATGGGCTATAGGATGGATATGCAAGAGAGCGGACTCAGCAGTCTGCCCTGGCCAGCCCCTACACCAGGCAGAAGCAGAAGGGCCTCCTTATTTGATCTCCACCAAGGCAAAAGCCAATTAAAGAAATGATTGCATCAAGGAGGCAGGCACCAAGGGGCCAGTTCTGATCCAGGTCTTATCTGTATCTAGCGGCCCTGCCTATGGCTGCCCTTCCTGGGCTGTGACACCAGCACTTCTGACGTTAGCCTCCCTGGTAGCTCCCTGATAAGAAGGAGGCCTACCAGCTCAAAGGGCCACACAGTGGCTCAGTCTTTTGTAAGTTATGGCTAAAGACAAAGGTGTGTACGATGGTACCCCATATAGATCTGTAATCCAAATGCTACTCCAGTCTCTAAAGTTGCCCTCTCCATAGCCAGACTGAGTGTTTCCATACATGCTGGTGGCTTTCAAAGAGTTAAAATGACCTGGATCCATGAGGAAAGCATACTTCAAACACAGAGCTGAAATATGAGAAGAATTTTACTAGTTATAACTGTGCCAGGTTATGCCATCTGTTGTGACTTTAGAAAAATCAATCTTTTGCAAAACTGGGTTTGTGTTAGCCCATATCTGCTCAAGGGTTTCACAGAGGAGATGGTGACTGAGCTGAGCCCAGAGCCCAGTGGTGGGGATGCACATAGCATGTTTGGGAGCACCAGGGTCCCCAACAACAGCTGCCCATCCACTACCCTCATGATCTGTGGCATGCCATGCTAGCACTCAGTTACTATTTTTCTTAAGCATTAATCTCTTTTTAAAACTTAAGCAAATGTTACTGATAAAGAAAAACTGACAAGACACATAAATCCTAGGCCACTGTCATACATCTGTTGCCACAAGACTACGGAGACAGCCCAACCCTTGCTCCAGAAACCGACAAGAAGTACTGCTCGCTGTTAACCAGTCAGAGGAGGCCCCAGACCTGGGAACTTTACAGCATTCCAGATGACGACAGTGTTATCCACGCTGCACGAGGCTAGCCAGGCGTCATGGGGAGACCATGCTACATCCATCACATCTGAAAGAAGACAGAGGGTTCTGGTGAGATCTTTTACCCGGCAATGCCCTTGTCTATTAGCTTGGTCAGTGCCCCTGGGACCTGGGACCTCATAACAACTCTGGTATTTTTTAAGCAACCTGAAAAAACTCCCCCCAAAATTTTTCAATTGGTCATAAATTTAAAGCATCTAACCGACCCCAGTGCCTCACTCCTTTTACAGACGAAGCAACTGAGGGTATGGTTCAGAGCTTGGGCACCGTATGGCACCACACCCATGCATGAGAGCCTGCTACTTTGTGGGTCTGTGGCCTGGAGCATGCTCCTCAGCCCTGCTGACTAGATTCGCCAATCATAACAGGGCCTTCCTCCAAAAGCCTTCTGAGCATGAGACACGGTGGGTAAAGCACATGGCAGAATGCCTGGCACAGTCAGAACTCCAGGGCTGCTGACAACTGAACACAAGTCATCTTGAGGCCCTTGTCTGGTTCATGGACTGGGTCTCATCTCCCAGACCCTGATTCGCTACGCAGCCTCCAAACAGAATTAATCACATTCACTTCTTTGTGACTCCATTTTATCATTTGTCAAGTGCAGATCAAAAAACAAAATCTAGACCAGGTGCAGTGGCTCACGCCTGTAATCTCAGTATTTTGGGAGGCTGAGGTGGGCAGATCACTTGAGCCCAGAAGTACAATACCAGCCTAGGCAACACGGCAAAACCGCATCTCTACAAAAAATTGGCTGGGCATGGTAGCACATGCCTGTATCCCCAGCTACACAGGAGGTTGAGGTGGGAGGATCACTTGAGCCCAGGGAGGTCAAGGCTGCAGTGAGCCATGATTGCGCCATTGCACTCCAGGCTGGGCAACAGAGTAAGACCCTGTCTCAAAAAACAAACAAAAAAACCAATGAAACAAAAAACCCCAAAACCTATCTTCATAGGGTCATTGTAAGGATTAAATGTGATAAACTGCTGCAACACCATGCCAGGCACACACCAAGGCATCGATGAGGGTCCGCTGTGACGATGGTGCCAACCTTGCCTATCCTGCCATCAGGGGTGAAGGGCGCAGTCTTAGTTATTTCTCTAACCTCAGCGCCTGGTGCAGTGCTAGGTATACAGAAGAATGATTGGTGAGTTGAAGAAACAAACATAGCAGCAAGGTAACAGCTATCAAGTGCTTTCTTTGTACAAGAGGTTTAAACAAAAATATTCCAAATATCTATTGTATTTTTTCTAGTTTAAAAAAAATCTAGTGACAGTTTAACAGGTTTTTTTTCACATTGTCTCACATGCTGTGGTTCACATTTTGTATTCTAAATGCCTATGTGATCTTCACAGCTTCTTTCCTTTTTTGCCCTGCATTCTATGTGGTTGAGAGCATTCACTACTATTAATTGACCTAATATAACATTGAAGGTTAACTGGATTCCAGTTTTTTGGGCCCGTGTGTATGTGTCACTCTCCACACTCTGGATTATTTCTCTGAGATGCATACCCCAGAGTGCGAATCCTGGGCAGAATATCTGAGCATCCTCACATGTCTGGATTTTCATAAAACTGTAGACTGCTTTTCCAAGATCCCTGTGGTTTTATATTTCTACATGCAGACTGTTTGCTCCAAAACTCCCTTAATTAGCATTGAGGATGATGACTTTTTCCCCTTCCGACTTATTTATTAAGTACATTTTTATATTTTAAATTTTGAATTAGATTATTAGTGAAAGCATTTGTCTCTTACCTAATGTCTTTTTGGACTGATCTGCTGACTTATTGTGGCTATTTACTGGGAAGTGTTTTGGGCAGTGGGTCTAACAACATAAACACAGTGCCTACAAAAATGAAGAAAACAACAACTTTCTCTAGGAACTGAGAGTCCTGGAGGGGCAGACATGCAAACACCAGGACAGCAGGGGAGTGCCCACATCCTAGAACAGAGAATATGTGGTCAGGTGGGAGCCCAGAAAAGAGAAGGGATTTTCTTAGCAATCTCCACAGACACATACAATGCAGCTATTAACTGCAAATTTCACCTCTTTACCTTTTTATACTGTAGGAATTTTATGGAGTAAAATCTGTTATTCTCCTTTGTGATTTCTTCTATTGCCTTGTTAACCTTGAAAAATACTCTCTCTGCTAGAGGTCTGGTAAATACTCAATTCTATTTTTTCCTTGTGTAGTTATTTAGAATGTTTCTCTCTTTAATATCTGGATTTATTTTGGTATGTGCTGTATTCGGTGAGGATCGAAATTAATTTCTCCTCACTAACTGTTTAATAGTCACTACGCCCCATGTGAGGAAGAATCCATTTTGATAAGTGATGCCTCCTTTCACATCACACCAAATTCTTAGGTACACTGTAGCCTCCTTCAGTGTTGTGAGTTTACCCTCAAACCCATGATGTTTCTATCACTGGAACTTTGAATGTTTTTATCCGTAACATTCTTATCCTTCCAGATGTCCTTTACAATCACTGCTGAGTAAATCCACACACATGACATAATTTTCTCCTAAACTCCCAGTTTGGAGTTTCTGTCTTCAGACTATATAGCACCTCCTTTTTGTTGTGCATCTACACACACAGGAGACCCCTCCCCTCACCTGTGGATTTACATTTCTGGCCACTGTTCTCACCATCATTCTTGGTGACTCCAGGAGGATGATTCTTCTAACACCCCAGGCTCTTGGTTCCTTAAATTCCTCCTTCCCTTCTGATGACCTTGGTTTCTACTACTTTCACCCCATGGTCATATCTAGAGGCCTTCCATGACAAATCACTGCAATCCGTCTCAATTCCAACCTTCCCACAGGCCAGCCATCAACCCCGTGCTCCTAGCTCACCCTCAGCTCCAACAGCACTTTTACACCACCAGGAACTCCGATCTACTGATGCTGCTGTCCTCTCACCACCTGCCACCCACCTGGTCCTTACCTCGCTCCTCCAGCTGACACCCACCACCACTCCCCCTTTTCTTCTCCTCCATCTTCCCACACACCTGACAAAGCTCAGCTCCTCCCCTAGTGTTTTTTGAATATCCTCCAATGACACCTCTGGCCCAATGACACCACATGAATATTGCACTTGCCTAGGCCCCCAGCAGCCTCCATGCTGTCAAGCCTAGCAGTCCATCCTTGGTCTTCACTTTGCCCCTCAGCAATAAGCAGTAAGCTGCCCGTTCCCCTCTCCTTCAAACACTCTCTTCGCTGCCTCTTTTGTTACTGTTGTTGAGACAGGGTCTCACTATGACACCCAGGCTGCTGAGCTACTGGCCTCAAGTGATACTCATGCCTCGGCTTCCTAAAGTGCTGGGATTACAGACATGAACCACCATGCTTGGCTTCTTTTCACTGTCTTAACTGGCCTCTCCTAGCTTCTTTTGCCGGTTTCAGCTCTCCAATCCCTAGGCTCATCCTTGGACTCTGCTCATACCCAGAACCTCATATTTCCAAGATTCATATTTCCAAATGTCTACACAGTATGTCCCCTTACACTGGCACACTTACCATGTCCAAAACCAAACTCCAAAACACTTCCCTTAACAAACATTTCTGTCCCACCTGCAGACTTCCTGCTTCAGGTTACATTCACTGCATCCTTTCCTCTGTCTGGACCATAGTCTGGGAAGTCATCCTGACTCCTCTGCTTATCTCATATCCCATATTCAATGCACCAGGAAATCCGCCTCTGACCACTTCTCACCACCTCTGTGTTATGCCCCAAGTCCAAACCACCATTGTCTCTCCCTAGTTTTTCGGAGCAGCTCCTTTACTGGTCTTCCCAGTGCAGCCCTGAGCCCCGCATGGTAGAATCCACACTGCTGCCAAAGGTCTCAACTCCTCTGCCCAGATCCCTGCTGAGCCTTCCTATTCTTGCTCAGAGAAGAGCCTTCACCATGGTCTCGAAGGCACACTTCCTCTCGCACCCTCCTCCGCAGCCCAGCTCCCAGGGGTTCACTGGGCACACTAAGCACATGTCCATGCTCCAGGGCCTTCGCACTGGCTGTCCCCTCATCGCCGTCCAGTGTTCCCTCAAATGTCATCTCCTCACTGAGCACTCATCTTCCAGCTCCTTACAGGACTCTGCCCTCTGGGCTAATCTTCAAATCTCCTATACTACTCACTCGTCAGTCTCTTTTACAAGAACAAAACTCCCTGAGAGAAGAACAGTGCCTGGAACATGGCAGACACTCAATAAATGTTTGGTATATGGACAAGTAAATATTAATTTGGGGAAAAATGTATTTCATTTAGCCTTTGAATTTATGAAGCCGTTTTCTATCTCTCAATGTTTGTATCTTAAAACGTTTGTGATTTAAGTCGTAGAAATCTAATTCATTTCTTGGTAAGATTACTTGTTCCTGGATATTTATAACTTTTGAGCCCACTATGTATAATTCTCTTTTTATCATGAGTTATTCTAATTGGCTATTAGTAGCAAAAGATAAATAATTTAAAATTGTTCTGAGGCCAATATAAAGACTCATTAGTTCTAAGTATTTTTCAGTGCTTTATTTGTTCCAGGAGCTTTATTATCCTATGGTTTTTCTTAATGTGAAATAATGTCACCTTCATTTCCTTTTTGTCTTATTTTCCAGTTTCTGTTTAACTGTGTTGCAGAAATTCCAGAGCAAGAAATTAAATGACAACACCCATCACTGTCTTTTCTTGATATAAACCACAACCAGGCTTAACTGTGAACTGTAATATTTGCCACGGATTTGAAAAAGACTAAGGACTCTACCATGTTAAGGAAACAGCTTTAGGCCAGGTGTGATGGCTTGCGTCTGTAATCCCAGCACTTTGGAAGGTTCAGGTGGGAGGATCTCTTGAGCCCAAGAGCTCAAGACCAGCCTGGGCAACACAGTGAAACCCATCTCTACAAAAAATAAAGATTAGCCAGGTATGGTGATGCCTATCTGTAGTCCTAGCTACTCGGGAGGCTGAGGCAAGAGGATCACCCGAGCCCAGGAGTTCAAGGCTGCAGTGAGCCGTAATTGCACCACTGCATTCTGCCTGGGTGACATAGTGAGACACAATCTCAAAAACAAAAAAAGAAAAGAAATATCTTTCTATAGGCATTTTTAAAAAAGCATTTTTAACAGGAACTGATATTGAATTGTCTAATGTTCCTTTTAAAATACCTAAGATGACTGTAGCTTTTCCTATCTAACTTCCTAGTATGTAAAGTTACATTAATAGATTCTCTTGTACTACACTTATATTATGTCACATTTAATCATAATAAATTACTGTTTTCTGGCCGGGCACAGTGGCTCACAGCTGTAATCCCAGCACTGTGGGAGGCCGGGACAGGCAGATCACGAGGTCAGGGGATCAAGACCATCCTGACTAACATGGTGAAACCCTGTCTCTACTAAAAATACAAAAAAAATTGGCCCGGTGTGGTGGCATGTGGCTGTAGTCCCAGCTACTCAGGAGGCTGAGGCAGGAGAATCGCTGGAACCCCGGAGATGGAGGTTTCAGTGAGCTGAGATCGCACCACTGCGCTACAGCCTGGGCAATAGAGCAGGATTCTGTCTCAAATAAATAAATAAATAAATAAATTACTGTTTTCAAATGTTATATTTACGAGCATCACTTCTGATTTTTCTATCTTTATTCATACTATTCTATGCTTTTGTTACATTATTGTTCTTAGGTTTTCTTGTATTTTCCAGATATAATAATCCTGGCTTATATCTCCTTTTCAATTATAAATATTGCTATTGTTCTGTATAATTTTTCTTAAAAGCTCAAAACAATGCATCTACAAATAATTTAGGACTAAGAAGCATTTCTGAAGACAGCCTTCCATTTCTTCATTGGTTATTATTCTGTTCAGTTTTTCCTAATCCTATGGTATCAATTATGAAAGTTCATATTTTCTAGAAAACGATTTTTTAGTATTTTTTTAGCTTAATAGTACAAACATTATATTGTACTGTTTGATGATTTTTTTCTGTCTGGGTTAAATGTTTTTCTAGATCTTTAACCTCTAATTTTGTCTAGGCTTTGTCTTCCCAACCCCCAATTAAATATACCAAGTATATATTTCTCACACTTTGCTTTTCAAAGATCCAGTTCTTTCTTATTCATTTACTTCTGCTTGTCATTGATTTTTCTTCTTGAATGGTTCTGCCCACACCTGCTACCAGGACCAGTGAGTAATGAGTGTCAACCCTACCTGTCTGGTAAAGGAGCCCCACTGGGGGGTGGGGTAAGAGAGAGAATGCAAGGCTCTGGCTAGGGCCTTGTAGTCCTCACTTGAGGCCTACCTCATGGTTGGGCACCCTTATAGACATGTGCACCAAGTTCCAGAAAAGTTCAACTAGACTTCACTGTTAGTACTGTGACACAAATAAGGGCAAATTACACAATTTCATTATCAAACAATAATACACCACTACCGTTTCAACTTTCAAAAACGTGGACTCAATCTATGGCTGCCACCAAGATGGGTTTGTTCTCCTTTAAACTGTCTACAGAGAATCCGCTAAGCATACACTGCCAATGGATTACAGGTGATGCCACCTCGCATACCTCTCACTCCTGCCCTGTCCTCGCCCAGATCTCCAGGCTCAATTCCAAGGTTTCTTGACATTTCTTCCCCTACCCCTCAAGCCAGGGGCAAGCCCATTCTGAACTGGTATCCATCCCCATAAGCCTGTTGTCCTTAAGGTCTCAGCAGAGGTCATACCTCTGACTATCTAGGCATCCAGTCAGGAATCTATCTCATACCTCTCTGTGCCCAGTCCTAAGTATTCCCAAATCGATCTCCTCTTCTCTACCTCAATTATCACAGGCCTAGCTCAGGCCCTGACGGTGTCCATCTGAACCACTGGAAGAACCTCCACTTCACTGAGCTGTCACAATTACCTCTCTGTTATGCTTCAAAGCTTTTAGTGGCTCCCTATCTCTTCCATGATAAGGGATTCCCTCAGTAACAGGGAGCACAAGCTTTCCATGATCCAACCCTGGCATACCTGACCAGCCTCACTTTGTGCTGCTCCCTGCCTTGTCTATAAAGATCCAACCATGGTGAAATGCCTCCAAATTCCCATTCACACCAAGACTTTCTCACTTATGCTGTACCACCCTGCCTGGAAAACCCTTTGGTCCATTCCTGGACCAAATGGACTCAGTCTCCTGAGTCAAGTCTAAATTGCACTCAACCTGGTATCCTTGACACCTGAGTATACAGCGCATGGGTACCTTTCCCCCTCAGTCTAAATTCATAAAATGTGCTTTTTTCCATACCAAGTTTATTTAAACCACTGCAAACATACTCAAGTTCAAGTTGAGATCTTTTCAATGGGCATCTGTGAGCTGATTTCTGGGGAATAAACAAAGTGTGCTTACGGACTTAGTGATCCGCTGATGAAGGTACTGATTCTGTTCAGCAGGACAAACAGCAGAACGTGGGAAGTTCTACATTAAAGATATAAACATATACCCCATGAGGGCAAGAGTGGGGAGACTGAATGCAGCTGGAGACAGGTAGTGGAGCCGGTGACTGCACAGATCGTAAGGGATAGGCAGGGTGTGACTGACTGTGATGGGGAGGGACAGCCCAGACATAGGGCTGCTTTAAGGACCAAACAGTCCCACAGGGGACATGGTGGTGCTGCTGATCTGAGCCAGGTGTCAGGGGCCCGCCCACCCCAACAGGCAGTCCCACTCACCGCCTGAATGACTCCGGAGGATGGAGACACACCGCCACTGCTCCACATTGGCAAGCTTACCACTGGAGCCGAACACGGTGCTGGGGCCGATGTACCTGTGTGAGAAAAGGGCCAAAAAGGCACTCATGGAGTGCTCTGGGCACTGCCCAGAAATGCTCCCTGCAGCCAGCTTATCAGCACAGACAGAACAAAGCAAAAACAAACAAGAACTGGAAAGCACTGGGTTGCTGAATAAAAGGGGCTGATTAGGTGAATTATGATCCATGCACTTGATGAAATACTATACAGCCATTACAAATCTTGCATGGAAAAATGTTCACAATAAGAGAAAGAAGCAGGCCATAGGACATCACATACAATATGATATCACTTATGTAAAGGAAAAAAAAACACATGACATGGATAGCATCTATGCATGGAAAATGGGTCAGAAGGACATCCCAAAATGTCAAAATATTAACTGTAGCTTTCTTTAGGTCGCGTGATGAGGGATATTTTTTCTTTTGTATTTTTAGTTTTCTAAATTGTATACTAAATGTTATTTATGTTGGCTATTTAAAGAAGGAAAATCAACAGTATTTTATTTTTAAGCCTCTCACAATGAATCAAATGGCTTTGACACTGAGGCAGAGAAACCATGTGATCTACAGGTACTAGCCCCCGCCAGAGGAGCCAGAGGAGCATCAGTCACCTGGGGCCTGGTGGAGGCAGTGCTGACACACCAATGCTCAGAGCCTTTGATAACACCTTTTGCTCTTGTAGAGCTCATCACAAATCCACAGAAAGAGAGTGTGCTGAGACAGCCAAGTAGGCTAAAGAGACAGCCTCTGCCTCTGCTCTTGAAGCCACAGCCACAGGGCCACTCTTGGTGAGCAGTGGTGCAGGGTCTGGTTCCCCAGCCTGACTGGCCCAGAGACCTGGGAGCAATAGTTTTCCAGGTGATGGTTAGCTCCTTTTGAGAGTAGAGCAGAGGCTGCCCCAGGTGGGGACCAACAGAGAATAAAGAAATGGCAAAGAGGTTGGACTCTGGATTCCCTGCCCCAGATCCTGGGCAAGAACCAGAACACCCTGACTTTTAACTATTTTGTATATTGGGCTTCCATGTGAAATTTCATTTGAAAAAAAACAAAAGCAATGAAGCTCCACCCACATCAGCACTAGAAGAGATCAGCCTTTCCTTTTCAGGTGAGAGCCTGCAGTCCCGTGAGGGGGCAGTTGACTAGGTCTCCTGAATCCCTGGTCAAGATCCACCTGCTCCTGACCTACATGCACTTCCTATTACTTATGAGGTCAGGGCTATGGGAACTTCAGTGACAAGGTGGGGAAAGGTGACTTTGATAAAGACCAGCAAAGCAGCTTCTAAAAATAAAATGTGAAGAAAGGAAAATGATGCTTACGTAGCCCGCTTCCACACCATAATCAGTTTGTCATCTCCCCCAGAAGCTAAATACATCCCACTGTTTGACCACCGCACACAGTTCACACATGCTGGGAAGAAAAAAAAAATAGGGTGATGAAAATCCAATAGTCATGCCCATTTGCTTCATGTAGAGTTTGGCAAGATGTAAAGGGTTTATAAAATCTAATCTATCTAATCTATTTAAGGCATCTACTGTGTGACAGCCCCAAAAAACAATTCAGTTTAAGTACTAACCTACTTGTGCTATAAAAACAAATTACCAGAACAGTCTGAAGGGTGAAAAATATACATTCTCTGAGAATCGTTAGTGCTGAATGATATAGTCAATAGAAGGCTTCTTTCCAAGAAAATAAAAAAATGATAACCAAATCTCATTATTTCAAAAGGGCCATCTATTGATGAGATGTATTTCTGAGTAGAGATTATTCTCAAAAAGAGAGTATGTGCTAAAAAAGGGTCAGATGCTTTTTCTAGAATTTTCAGGTGAGCAGTCTGTTAGGGTATAAAACTCTGACTTCATCTCATCTGTCAGAGCCAGCCCTTTCACATTCGGATTTTCCAAACTCGCCAGCACTGCAGATTGATTGACTCTGCGCTTATAAACTAACATCAGCAGAAATTCCCCCAGGCCTCTGATGGGCCACAGCCTCCAAGAGTACTCACAACTTGGCCTTTGGGAGACCTGAAAGATGGCTATCAAAGTTGTAGCCCCCACATGGCCTGTGAGTAACTTATGCTCCAAGTCTGAAGATGCTGAGAGGCATGTTGAGAGGACAAGAACACACAGAGCAAAGGAAGGAGCTGATGTCCAAAGGTCAGTGACTGTTCATTAAGCATCTCAGGGGTGGGAAACTAAGGCACTACAGCAGGAAAGGAAACCATGACACTGTCTGGTGGCCAAAAGAGTCCTGGCAGAGAGCCTCGGAGTGACACAGTGCCAACCTGAGATGTTTTGGTAAACTGTCTCTTGCGCACCCTTCCCTAGAACCCTATTGTGTCCAGGTCGCTGGCCCCAAAGCCCCATGGAATCAGGCAGTAACGACTCATGAGCAGGAAATCACCAGAGGTACCTGCAGACTGTCCAAAGATGGTTCTGTGGGCGGGCCGAGTCTTCTGCCGAATAACTCACCCAGGTGTGCAGCCAACATCTGTGCCTTCAGACAGCAGGCCGAGGGGAGTTACCGCCGCACGGGGCCTTATCTTTCTAATTACAAACACATGTGCTAACCTTGGGCACTCTGCCAACACGCAAAGCCTGCAAAGGGCCACTCTGTAATACCTAAGTGATTGTCCATCTGGCAAAGCATCTTGGGAATATTTTCATCCTTCTCGTCATCCTCCTGGAGGACTGGAGACATATTCCAGATCACAACCTTCCCAGAATCCTGCCCTGGAATGAAGGAGCAGAAATGACTGAATGTGCAAGGAGTAGAAATTTGATATTAATATTTAATGTCCAATTAAATGAGAAGAAGTCCTCGCTTAGCTTCCATAAATAATAATTAACTAGATCTAAGGAGACTGAATTTAAATTACTAATTTAAGTTACAGAAAAGATGATAAGTACTCATGGGGACCAAACAGAGAGGACTTAGCAGTCAGCAGAAGTCAACCTGACTTTACAAAAAGAACTTTAGCAATCAGGAGGGAACTGAGCTCTGGTCTAGCCTCTAACACGGATCCACCAGGGTTCCCTAGAAGGTCTTCATGCCCCCCCAGCACCTAGACTCTGACTCCTTGACTCCTCATCTGTGAAATGAGGAGAAGGGAGAGTCAATGTCACAAGACCTTTTCCGTTCTATGTACACCCTAAAAGGAAAAAGAAAAGCACACCACAGCCCCACACAGTGGGGCTCACCTTCCAGGGGCTGCCTGGAATTTAGGCTGTTTCAGAGTTGACTGTTTTGAGACCCAAATGCACCCTGAACACAGGAAAAAGGGCTCATTATCTTGTTATCTACCCTTTGCAGTTACCTACAGATGAGAGACCAACCAAAAGAGGGGATTTAGGGCTCCTGTGCATGAGGTGATGTATTGCTTGGCTGAAAAATATACCCATGCCTTTTAGTAATGATTTCTTTTCTTTCTTTTTTTTTTGAGATGGAGTCTCGCTCTGTCTCCCAGGCTGGAGTGCAGTGGCATGATCTCGGCTCACTGCAACCTCCGCCTCCCAGGTTCAAGTGATTCTCCTACCTCAGCTTCCCGAGTAGCTGGGATTACAGGCGAACACCATGACACCCAGCTAATTTTTGTATTTTTAGTAGAGATGGGGTTTCACCATGTTGGCCAAGCTGATTTGAACTCCTGACCTCAGATGATCTGCCTGCCTAGGCCTCCCAAAGTGCTGAAATTACAGGTGTGAGCCACCATGCCTGGCCTTAGTAATGATTTCTAAGCTTTCCATCACTGATATCTAACAAAGTTTAGCCCCTCACTTAATTTCCTATTATAATGGGGCTAAATCCAATGAACATGCCAAAATTACCATAAAGCATGTTTGAAACTGCCCCTTGGCCAATATGTAAAAATAGTTCCAAACATTTCTGCTGGACCAACGTGGTAAAATGTGTGTCTTCTGGGTACAGGTGCAAACCCTCTAATTCCTCCAGCTAAGTCCATGTGTTCTCTCTCATGTGCTGCACCTCCTCTTGGGTACAGTCCACAGCATGGAAGGAGAGAAAGGCTTCCCTGCCCACAGCTTCCCTACACTCCCTTCCAGCTCCTTGACTCTGGGTGGAACCATCTGCTGGAAACCCACCCTGCAGCACCTGGCCTGAGGACCTAGAGCTCATAAAGTCACTCTCTAAGTGCTGCCTGGGGAGGCCTGGTTGGAGGGAGGCCCTGTTCTGGGGTGAAGACGACAGGGGGCTGGGCTCTGTGGAATGCTACATTCTGTCACTATATATACACCTTGGTGTCCTAGCATGAAGAACAGCTCTGTCTTTCCAAATAGAACCATGTAACATTGCAAAAGATGCTGGCTGCAGCAGAAGGGCAATACTACCAATAACAGTTTCAAATGGTGTGGGCTTTCTTACTTGCCCACAGTGTACTTTCTCCTTAACCTAGCTGAATTCCTTTGACGAGAAAATGGGCCTAATAACTACATGATTGCTTTAGAAGCTTAAACCACTCTCATTCCCTTTTTTCAGATAAGAAAAATACTGACAGAGCCCTTGCCTCTGGGGCTGGGCTTTGCCCACTGCACCACCTGCCACTGTCGATGCTCAACAAGCTTGGGGATACAAACTTATTTTAATATTAACCCAATAAACAGAAATTAGAATGATAAACCTGCTGCCAAAATATTTACAGAGAGCACACTAAAGCCATAAAAGGATTTTGATTTTATCCATTTAGATAACACATTATAACTATACATTTTAAGCAGCGTTGCATCTGTACTGAAAAATAGCAAGTATTCCCTCTACAGTTAAATGGACAGCAGGAGAAGAGCAAGGTGCCAGGACTGCTAAATTTTCCCTTTCATTATTCCATAAACATACCTTGTCCTCCAGTTGCGAACTTGGTCCCGTCAGGGTGAATATCAACTGAAAAAATCGGCTTGCCTGGAAACAAAGAAAAAAAAAATACAATATCTAAATTGGCTTTTATTCATTGAAGAGTATCAAACTCAACAGATTCAGTTAAAGTCTAAACTGCTAGAAGATTCTCCAAACATTAGACCGCTGAAAGTCCAACAGTGGGAGGAAGCATTCCATCACTGAGAATGGCTGAGCCCACAGGATGCCTGGGCATTTGTCTGCCATCTTGCAGGGATGTGTGTTTGTAAAGGCTATGAGCTGTTCATGATTAAAGTTCTGAGTCACAGGTACTTAGGGAAAAGGGCACACAGCTATAACTCCAGACATCTCCCTATTGTGCAGATCTGCACTTGACTGGAAGCCTGGACAGAAGGAGCACTATTTGTCTTTTCTGGCTGACAGCTGAGCAGGACCAGGGCTGGCTGCAACCAAGGAGCATTTCTTCACTTGTCATACTTCTGCTTCCAAACAGCCCTCTTTTGTTTGTGCTGTGAAGTTCACATACAGTCTGCCATCTCAGCATCTCCTCTGGCTGAACTTCCTTCACAGTTTGTATTCTATGTTAAATTAGCTGTTCAATTCCTCCAGGAGAAAGGACTGTGGCTATTAGTTCTGAGGCTTGCACTAGGATCCCATGAAGCTAGCTGGCTGGCTGGGTGGGTGGATCAGACTGGCAAAAGCACTGTAGAAGCTTGAAACCCAGCAGACCATAGAAGGGACTCACGCCTGGTGGGCATTTGTCCAGCTCCCTGCTTCTAGGACAAAGGTACAAGAGCTACAAGTAGTATGTCAGTTGCTGTTGAGTTCATCACATCTTCTCCCTCTGGCGTAGTACCCAGTGCATGGTAGCGCAGTAATATTTGTTCAGTGGCAAAGGAGATACATGACAATGAACTAAGCATCAGCAATTGCTGATATAGATGGGCTGCTGCCAAGAGTCTCTTAATTGAACACGTTCTGTCTCTGTCACCCAAGAGGCGGCAATGTGGATACACTACCAGAGTCACCAGCCCTAGAATCACTCAGCAACTACTGGGGTCAGGGGTGTGTGGGCAGGCAGTGGCTGCCTGAGAACTGTGAAGTCCTGCCAGGGCTCCCATGCAAGTGTTGAAAATTAAATGCTGATGCCCAAAAGGCACTGCCCAGCACGGGACCCAGGCAGCACCCAGCTGTGGAGAGCCGTAGCCGTGCAGTCAAATCAAGCATGAACTTGAGAGAAAATACACTTTCCTTCTTACTGGTCATTATGTAGTACAGGTTGAGTATCCCTTATCTGAAACACCTGGGACCCGTTTTAACCAAAGGGAAATGACAGAAGCAATGTTGCTCCAGTTCCAGGTGTAGGCCTAAAGAGTCTAGCAGTTCAACTTTGGCTCTCTGGAGAAATCTAGTTGCCATGTGCGAAGTCCAAGTACCCTGAGACCACCATGTTTTGAAGAGGCCCAAACTGGCCACATGTAGAGCATCAAAGAGCCCGGACAAGTGAGAATCAAGGCCACAGACACAGGCGTGGTGAGGTGTTCTATCCCCAAGCTATTCGAGCCATCCCAGCAGATTCCATAGAGCCAAGATGAGCTGGACCTGCTGAGTCCTGACAAGCTGCAGAATTATGAGCAAATAATAAAACTGTTATTGTTTTAAGCCAGCAAATTTAGGGGTTTGTCATATAAGAGAACCCAAAATGCCAATTCATTTGCTTTTCTGCTTAAGCCAACTTTAGCTGGGCATTTGTCATTTTAACAAAAAATATTCTAGCTGACAGCCTTGGTCTTGACAGGCAATCAGGGCGGAACATTCCCCTCCCCTTGGAGTGCTTTTCAGTTCCATAAGTCTGTGAGACATTGTATGATATGAGTCCCCTCAAGAAGCACATCAGAAACCCTTACCTGCAAGTCACAGTTCCCCCGACTACCCAAGAGCACACACAGGCTGAGCCAGGCTCAGCTGCACAGGTACCAATTAGAGCCTGTGCGCTTTAGATCATGCCCACTCACAGCATCGACTGCATGTTTTCTCACTCAGTCTCTGTTTGCAGATTTCTACTATGTGCCAGGCATTAAGCTAAGCAATGAGAAAGTAAAGATATATAATCATACAAACTCCCCTAGTAAGATGTCCGCTGATGGACACTTCACAAGTAGAAAGCCACCTGACTCATTCAGCTTCGGGCTTCCTGTAAATATAATAACTGAATTGGGTCCCAAAGGTTGAGTAAGAGTTAGCCAGAAGATCGGGTGAGAGAGAGGGATTTCAGGCTGAGGGGATGCACAGCATGGAATCAAGAAATAGGCTGATGTGCTGCTGCAGAGCAGAGTGCAGGTAGGGTATGAGAAAGAAGAGGAGACAGAGATGGCCAGGGCTCAGCAAGCATCAGTAAGGAGCTCAGACATTTCTCTAATGGTACTTTTAAGGCAGGGTAATTCCAAGGTCATATTCACATTCAGGCTCCACAATAGCAGTGTGGAAAATGGGGGTGGGGGCCTCCAGGCTCCAGGGGAAGGCAGGGATGGAGGCTGGCAACAGGTTTTGGTTTTGGCATTAAACATCATGGGCTGAATCTTCAGCCCTGCCACTTACTCAGCTGCAAAGCCTTGAGATTTTATTTTTTATTTTATTTTATTTTATTATTTTGAGATGGAGTCTCGCTCTGTTGCCTAGGCTGGAGCGCAGTGGTGCGATCTTGGCTCACCGCAACCTCTGCCTCCCAGGTTCAAGCAATTCTCCTGCCTCAGCCTCCCGAGTAGCTAGGACTACAGTCGCACGCCACCACGTCTGGCTAATTTTTGTATTTTGTATTTTTGTATTTTTAGTAGTTGTTGGTCAGGCTGGTTTTGAACTCCTGACCTCAGGTGAGCCACCTGCCTCGGCCTCCCAAAGTGCTGGGATTACAGGCGTGAGCCACCACGCCTGGCCACACCCATTTCTTAATCTGCAAAAATGTGGAGGACACATTCACCATTACGAGCACCTTGTGAGACAGATTAAGATGCTGTGTCACGTTACTTCTAAGATGCATCCATTTCACACGATGAGGACACACCTTGCTGGAAGGCGTGCCTGGTTTGTTGGCACCATGTTTCCTTTCTTAGTGTTGTGCAGTAAATGAGATGAAATATGGTAGGGGACCTACACAGACACCAGCGCAGTGCTGGCTCCCCACTTCCTTACAGCACTAGACCTTTCCGTCCCAAGGAAAGCAGTCACTCACATTCCATCATTGGGAATGAATCTCTTCTTTTTTTTTTTATTTTTTTTCGAGGCAGAGTTTCACTCTGTCACCCAGTCTAGAGTGCAGTGGCACGATCTTGGCTCACTGCAAACTTCGCCTCCCGGGTTCACACCATTCTCCTGCCTCAGCCTCCTGAGTAGCTGGGACTACACGTGCCTGCCACCAGGCCCGGCTAATTTTTTGTATTTTTAGTAGAGACGGGGTTTCACCGTGTTAGCCAGGATGGTCTCGATCTCCCGACTTCATGATCCACCCGCGTCGGCCTCTCAAAGTGCTGGGATTACAGGCGTGAGCCACCGCGCCCGGCCAGGAATGAACCTCTTCTAAAGGGGTCTTTGAGGTGGAGCTGAGGAAAGGGACCTTCTGGCCCAGCTAGTTAGAAAACTCTTCCTGCGGCACAGCACGATGACGACAAAGATGAGTTCCCAACTACCTCCAGTGTCTGGACTTTCTTTGTAATAGAGACAGAAAGAAAAGACAAATTAACACACCCTAGACTCTAGAGACACCAAGCAATCACCTATCCTTAGATCAACCCCAGATCAGAATGTTGTCCTTGCACACCTAATACAGAGCCAATATAGTCAGTCACTGTCTACTGTCTGGGGGTTTGCTGATTTGACAAGAGCAGCACGAATGCTTTCCATCTGGCAGGGAATAAAGAATATATTAAGGAAGCTCGGATTATGACAGGGCATGCTTGGGTAGAATCGTACCCTCCTTCACACCAGGGGAAAGATTCCTAGAAGAGGACTAAACATGGGAACTTAAACTCTGAGCAGAGAGAGGTGGCCAGAGGCAAAGCAAAGAGGGCACAATGGAGAGCGCTGGCCCTTCCCTCTCAGCAGACCTTCGGCTTGGCTCCAGAAAGTCTCTGGGCTTTTATGCTCTGATAGTTCATTGGGTAGAGCTGACTGGAACACATGTGCATACGTCCTTTTGGAATGAAGCTTGGGAAAGTTGAGGCCTTTGCCCAGCGAATGTTGCTCCTGGGAACACTTTTCCTGTACTGCCCAGTAGAACTTGGTTTTAACCAATGTTGACAAATATAGAATTAAAAATAAGAAAATGTTTGAAACATTTATTAAATGAAACAGTTACAAAACAATACTAAAATATAAGGTGGGTCTGGTCACGGTGGTTCACGCCTGTAATTCCAGCACTTGGGAGGCTGAGGCAGGTAGATCACTTGAGGTCAGGAGTTTGAGAACAGCCTGGCCAACATGGCGCACCACTGAACTCCAGCCTGGGTGACAGAGTAAGACTCTATCTCAAAAAAACAAAACAAAACAAAACAAAAAATATATAAGGTGGGTGCAAACAACACAAACTTACTTACTTACTTATTCATTTATTTTGAGACAAATTCTCACTCTGTCACCCAGGCTGGAGTGCAGCGGCACGATCTCAGCTCACTGCAACCTCTGCCTCCCAAGTTCAAGCGATTCTCCTGCCTCAGCCTCCCAAGTAGCTGGGACTATAGGTGTGTGCCACCATGCCTAGCTAAAAAGTGCCGGAATTACAGGCTTGAGCCACCCTGCCCAGCCGCAAACAACATAATCTTAAATGTAGAAAACTCTAAAGATTCCGCAGAAAAACTATTAGTGCTAATAAATGAATTCAGCTAAGTTGCAGATAAAAAAATCAACAAACAAAAGTCATCTGCATTTCTATACACCAACAATGAGCAATCTGAAAGGGAAATTAAGAAAACAATTCAATTTACAACAGAATCAAAATGAATAAAATTTGTAGGAATAAACTTAGCCAAGGAGGCGAAAGACTTCTACACTGA